AATATAATATAATATAATATAATATAATATAATATAATATAATATAACAGGGTAATGATAATTTGAATATATATTATGTAAAAGACATTATTAATCTTCAGTGCTTTAAGAACAAATACCAAATAAGAAAACACCAAATAACAAGGGGTTAAATATTGCTTATATTATATATAATACTTTTGGTAATTCCTGTTAGTTTTGACATTACTCCATAAAAAAATTATTACCTTCTAGTGTTGTTTTCAAGAATAATTATGTCACAAAATATAATCCTCAGAATAGTGAAAGAAGGGTTAATATGAAAACTGAGAGTCAATATAAAAATTAGAGAGCTAGAATATTAGAAATAAAATCTGAAATATTCATTTCAGCATTGGAAGTTCACTGGTAACTGACAGATCAGTGAATAGTTCTTCTCTGTAGAGGGGCCTGCATTCTAGAATGATTTTTCCCTTGAGATCCAAACAGCCCCCACTCTGCTATGGTTTAGAAGAGCCATAAAGAACTACTTCTTCTAAATTGCAAATATTCTGTTACTATAAACTTCAATAAAGGCACTACATGCTTTATGTACCTGCCTTGCCTGCACTACCTAAAAAGTTGACAACCTTTGACCTAGAGCAGAGGTGTCAAACTTGCGGCATCACATTGTCATCATGTGACTTATCATGACTTTTTTTCCCTTCATTAAAACAGGGGTGGGCAGGGTCAACACCCGGGCCGCAAGTTTGACACCCCTGACTTAGAGCATTAGTGTAAGTTGTTGCCCTTATACTGTCATAGTGAAAACTTATATAATTGGTTTATAGCATGGGTGGGCAATTAATTTTTCCAAGAGGCTATATGAGAAACTGGGACTGCTGTGGAGAACTATCAATGTCCTTATCCCTCCCCACTGACACTATCCCATCACCGCCCCTGCTACCCTATTGCTGATATTGCTGCCACCATGGGCTAAATAGGGACAGCTAAAGGGTCAGATATGGCCCACAGGCCATAAAATGCCCATGCCTGGTTTATAGGAACATAAACCTATGCAGAAAATACTATTTAGTATAGACCAGTAATATTGAGGGAATTAATTATCTGTGGGAATCAGGACAGGAGTAATAGTAAGAGAAAGAACAAGCACAGGAGAAAATGTCTCATTATTTGTGATTATTTTAAGACAGAATATTACCTCAACTATGACTCCAACTAATTAGTGCTGTACATGTTTAAATCTTAGGAGAAACCGTACATGCCTTGTGGCAACCTGCCTGAACTGAGTGTACCCATATGCAGACAATATATATGGTAAAATCTCTGCAATTTGTTGGGTATTAATGGTGCTTTTAAAAATGAGCTAAGAATACAGTTAAAATTATTAATTGTCACACTGTTGCTACACAAATTATTTTCAATTCTGGAATATGGGTTACTTTATAAATCACTTTTTGAATTATTTGCTGTATGTATTATAGTATACATGCTATGCTATGCTATGCTGTGCTGTGCTGTGCTGTGCTGTGCTGTGCTGTGCTGTGCTGTGCTGTGCTGTGCTGTGTTTCATCAGAGCAGGGAGAACTGGCTCTCAGGACTTCAGAGTAAGGCACAGTGCAGTACCAGTGTGACGCCTCTCCCAAATGCTTCCCCAGATACCTTTTCAGATATCAGCGTGGGGGAGGATGAACCAGTTCCTGACACATCAGGAGGGGAATTGGTCAATGGCTCCAAGCAATGAACTGACAGTGATTTGGCTGAAGCACAGCTACAGTAGGATAGCCCTGAGGCATCAGATGGAGAAAGTATGCAGCCTATAGCCAGTCAGGGATGAGGAAGAGGAACAGCCTTCTGCACCTGATCCAAGAACAAGAAGTACAGAGAAAAGGCAGGAGCAGTGAAGGTCAGGCAGATTACTCGCAAGGAGAAAGCCTCACACTTCTTGATGGGCTGTACCAAAAGCTGGCTATTTAGCACAGCAGACAGATGGAGGCGATGCTGGGAATGTGTTCATTTCCTAGATGTGTGTTTTCTGATCGTTGTGATCCCTGCCTTGCTTTAGATTGTGCCTTTACTTGGATTGTGGATTGTGCCTTGTGAACTCTGAACTAGCTTCATGAACCCTCTTGTATTGTGGATTTAATTTTGCCTAGTTTGTTTATATTGATTTGGAAGCTTTCAAGTGCCCTGTGGACTCGTTGGCCATTGCTCTGTGGACTAGCATTGGTCTGCTTGTGTAAAACCACTAAGCCATGGTTACGTATATGTGTGTGTGAGTGAGCAAGACAGCACAATCAGGAAGACACAGGGGCTCTGTACCAGGAGTGGATGGGCAAGAAGAGGAAGAGAGGCCGAGAATTTCGGAAATGCTGTCAGAAAGGCAACTGGATGAATGCCTGGCTGAAAAGGAAAGAGAAGAGATTCAGCTGCAGTCAGGAAGCTCAGATGACCAGTGAGAAGCACAAGGCAGAGAAGAGGTGCAGCTGCAGTGAGGATGAGGAACTATCTCTTTCACAGATCCCAGGCCATGCAGGGCCAAACGGAGGGAGGCATAGCAGTGGTTGGCAAGGCTACTTGCAAAGAGGTGGCCACACCCCTCCTAATGAGCTGGACTGGCTGGTAGCTACTTAACTGATGCTTGGAGCAAAGCAACATAAGAAACAACCACCTGTTTCCTGCAGTGCTTGTCCTCCAATTTTTTGATTCCTCCTTTCATGATTCCGGACCTATGCCTTTTTTGCTGACCTTGTGATTGAACCTTGGATTTGGCTTGGATTCTGAATCTGGACCTTGACTTTAGTTATTGTGTTTGGACTTTGTGTGTGAACTTGCAGGCTTGTGCCTTGCCCTCAGACTTTGTATTTGCCTTTCACTTCATCCCTTTTTGCAAACTCAGACTTATTGCAACTTTACCTTTCTTGTGAAGGGACTTGGGAAATAACGTTAGGGACTTGCAATGCCTCAATAAGTAATCGTGTGTGTGTGTGTGTGTGTGTGTGTGTGTGGCGCACGCGCGTGCATGTATGCTGTGTGTGTGTAGTTAGACAGGACATATAGAGAATGTATTACTACTATCATTGCCTTCTACAATATCTAGTTTAAAAACCCTGGAAACTATGCATCATTGGTCTTTTCATTCTTGCAGAGAACAGTGCTTCCCGTTAATTTCCCTATTACTTGTAGAAGTCAGAGAAACAATAAACAAAACAATTTATATTAGGCATTTATTTATTTGAGAAAATTTAATATAATAATTATATAATTAAATTATGAAGGAAATATACTGTGGCAGTGCCTAGTAAACAAAATATTGTACTTTCTATATACTATTTATGTTTAATAATATTTATAACTATCTTTATAATAAACATATTTTGTATTATTGATATCATAATGTCTTAAACATAACTATGTTTCATGGTATTCTTACTGTTTAGGTATAGAAAACTGAATAAGTTTGGGTAGTTCTTGAACACGGCCTTTTAGTTCTTCAAGTCTTTGAATGCGATTCAGTAACTGATTGATATTATTTGTTATGCTTTTATCTGCTAGAGGAACTTGCCAGTCTGGGATAATTTCTTCCTCGCCTAACTGAAATATAGTTAGATAACAAAATATTAACGTAATCTGTTGTATAGTAACAGAGGTTTTCTCAATTAGCTTGAAAGAAGCACCACATTCACTGTTTCAAATAATGTACTTTATTATAGTAGAATTGTCTCTACAATATTAAGCTATTGTATTTATTATAGTAGAATTGTCTCTACAATATTAAGCTATTGTAAAACATATACAGGTAGTCCTTGATGTACGAGGGCTATCCACAAAATAGATTACGTTTTGCGATAGAAAAAAAACAAAGTGTAGGAAAAAAAAAAAATTATACTCTTGAAAGTGACACTTAAATACTACTTTTCAACATATTCACCGAACAAATTGAGGCACTTATCATAGCGGTGAACAAGCTTTGTAATTCCGTCATAAAATTCAGCCGCCTGAGATTTGAGCCAGTCAGTCATGCCCGCCCGCAGTTCCGCGTCGTCGTCAAAGCGCTGTGTTCCAAGCCAGATCTTCATCCTCGGAAACAAGTGGTAGTCGCTTGGTGCAAGATCGGGGCTGTAGGGCAGATGAGGAAAAATCTCCCACTTGAAAGCATTCAGGACTTTTCAAGTGCGATTTGCTGTGTGTGGGTCGGGCACTGTCATGCAAAAACAAAATTTTTGAGCTTAACTTTCCTTTACGCTTGTTCTGAATTGCTTTTCTTAGTTTTTGCAACATTTCACAATACCTCACAGAGTTTATTGTTGCACCATGTTCCAGAAAATCGATAAGAAGCACACCTTGCCTATCCCAAAAAACAGTCGCCATAATCTTCCTTGCAGAGAACGTTTGCAAACATTTTCTTGGTTTTTTGGGGGAATTTGTGTGCCCCCACTCCATAGACTGCAATTTGGTCTCGCTGTTCACATGTTTGACCCAAGTCTCATCTCCAGTTACGATTCGATCAAGAAATGAATCTCCATCTTTGTCGTAAGAGTACAGAAATGTCAATGATGCGGCCATACACTGACTCTTGTGGTTTTCTGTCAGGATTTTTGGCACCCATCTTGCACAAAATTTGTGGTAGCCTAGCTTTTGTGTAACAATTACATGCAAAAAACTGCATGAAATTTGTGGAAAACTAAGCAAAAGTTCCGTTACTGTGAAACGGCGGTTTTCACGAATCTTGTCATCGACTTTCGCAACCAGTTCATCAGTCACAATGCTCGGACGTCCACTCCGCTGTTCATCATGAACGTTAGTTCGGCCATTTTTAAACTTAATGCACCATTGGCGCACTCCACCTTCAGTGATTATGTTGTCCCCGTACACTTCACACAGTTGCTGAAAAATTTCAATCGGTTTATGGTTTTTTGCCAACAAAAACCTTATCACTGATCGCACCTCACAACTCGCGGGATTTTCAATTGCGGCACACATTTCAAACATTTGCTGTGAAATAACGGGCAATGATACGAACCTGCCACTAGCACGACTAGATGCAGACTGAGCGGCGGACACAAAGACCAAAGATGGCCACGCTAGCTCCGCCCCTTCTTGCTACAGACGAAAACGTAATCTATTTTGTGGATAGCCCTCATACAACAGTTTGTTTAGTGACAGTTTAAAATTACAACAGTGCTGAAAAAAGTGATTAATGACTGCTTCTCCTACATGACCATTACAACATCCCCATGATCACATGATCAAAATTCAGCCTCTTGGCAATTGACTCATATTTATGCCAGTTGCAGTGTCCCGGGACCATGTGATCACATTTTGCAACCTTCTGATAAGCAAAGTCAATAGAGAAGCCAGATTCATTTAACAGCTATGTTACTAACTTAACAGTTGCAGTGATTCATTTAACTTTGGCAAAAAAGCTCATAAAATGGAGCAAAATTCACTTAATAAATATCTCACTTTGCTACAGAAATGTTGGGCTCAACTGTGGTCATACGTCAAGGTCTACTTATAATGTAAAAGCAAACTTTCATACTTTTAATTATGTATAATAATAATTAAAATATTGCATTTACCTGAAAGAAAAATTAATGCATTTTTAATAAACCACCTACCAACCCACTAAGCATAAATAGACCAATTTCTTAAAATGAACTAAAAAGTATACTTTACTAATAATGAGAAGGTGACTGACATGAAGTGGAAAAATGTTATTTTGGAATGGCTTCAATTGAGAGCCAGGATAGCCAAGCTGGATAAAAAAAAATAGGTGGTTATTTTTATGGAATGTGATTGTTTTCTACTGTAATAAGCAATCTGAGAGGTGGGATGATGGAGACCATCAGAGTATCTCACTGCAGTTGGAAAAGGTACTATCACTAAAATTGTGATAAATCAAACTACATGCAAGAAGATCGTCAGTTTGGGGATCCTTTGGTGATGGCTTGAAACAGCACAGAGCAATTTTGGATGCTCCAGATGTAGTATATTTTCCATGATATAGGTGTAGAAAAGTCCTGGAGAGAAATTTCTATCTGAATTTGTTCATGTCTGTTTGGCCATTACAATTGCAACTAGACATAAGTGTTGTATTCTCCCCCTCAATGGGAGGCAGGATTAGCATAGGTGGAAAAAGTGGGGAAAGTAAAAAGATTTTTTTATGGGGTTATTAGTGAGAAAGGGACACTGGAGTAATGAAGAGGCACATAAATATCTGATGGCAAAGAACATTATTAAGTCTCTGGAAATATTTGCTTTATGTATAACATTGGAAAGACTAACTATACTAACTAGAGTACTAACCCTAACCCTAATAGGTGAATTCTACAGCAGCCAAGTTTGGGAACAGGAAGGGTGATCATTTTGTCTATAAACAATCAGTTGTGAATATTTGCATCTAAAGCTGGTGTGCAGGGACATATTAGGAATGATTTCATCATTCAATTAGTGTTGGAGTATTAACTACTATTATTAGGGGATTTCAACCTCCATCTTTCAAGGATGGAATTTGGAAATTTCAAATTTATTTTTTCCTCTCTGAGAATTGAACGCAATTGAATGAAAGAATAAACTGAAGATGGCCAGTATTGAAGAAAAAATAATTGCAAAAGATTTCAAATAAAATAATTCAAATTATTCATTTTTGTTTTGAGAAATTTTCATATATTAGTATTAGCCATTATTATAGAAACACTTTTAATTATATTAAGATTAATCCCAAATGTCTGTTGTACCTGCTCAAGTAAGAATGGCTAATCCTTATATTGTGTCCTTTTATTTAGATTCTAAAATTTAACATAAAGAAACTGCAGAATATATAGAGAAACAATTCACATGGTTACCACATATTTCTAAATAGTTTGTGTTAGATCTTAACAATCAAAATTCTAGGTTTACCTCTTCCATCTCATGGACCTCCTTTTCAAACCACTTGAGAAAAAAAATAAAATAAAATTAGATATTAACAGATTACATTTTTATAAAATAAAACATATTTTAAAGATATATATCAAAATTTTCTTACCTTAAGCAATGAGTCTAATATCTAAGAAAGAAAATATTATAAATCACCATCAATTTTATTATATAACAATTTAAATACAAAATAACAAAGTGAGAAATGTCTAGGTTTCCAAATTGTACCTCCTTATGTCAGCTTAAGCAGGAAATGTTTTCTCTTACTAGACTTTTTTGCTAGGTTGATCTTTGTATTTTTGCAATGGAGGTGGGGATTTACCATATGCTTACCATTCTATTGAAACATCTATCTTTCCATATTTATTCTAAATTTCCAAAAAACTGGTAGCTACTAAAGTTGATTTTTTTTCAAGTATAACAAAACATGACAATTAACAGTAAATAAAATCTTACGCTTATGCAGTACAATAAACATTATACATACTTGCTTTTCTTCACGAAGTGCATTTTCCAATTGTGTTCTAAGTTGTGAACAACATATCAGGAAAGAAGTCATATCTTCATAATCTTCCTTCCAATGACAAAAATATTCATATAGTATCTTTATTTTAAAAATATTGCTAGGGAAAACTATTTCTGAGATTTGTAATAATCTTATTACAATTCTTATTTTTAAAATAAATTTACAACTTTTATCATTTACATGAAGTAATGACAGCATTTACTTATATAAATTAAGAATGAAAACATTAGCTAGGATACTACCCTATATAAACTGGAATGGTAGGTTCCAGTGAACAAACTGGCACTCTGCTTATTTACTAAAATTTATATATTGCATATTCCTTTGATTCTAGGGGCTTTAAAACAGATAAAACAATAATAAAATCAAAAATCTATTTATAAAGCCACATAATTAACAGAATATAAAAAAAAACTATAAATAAAAGCATAGCTGCCATCATACAAGTTAAAATGCCCCTTAATAAAACTATTTTATCACTTTCTGGGACATCATCAAAGTAAAGAAATTATTAAACTTGGGGGGAAATTGTCTCATAGGGGCTGATGAGCTTAATTTCCATCTAGGTTTTTTTTAGGCAACTAGCAAAGAATCATCTCACTTAACATATATAAATTAGATAGATTCTACATAAAGAAAACAGTTCTACTGATAACAGGGACACAATCTAAGAGGTTTTATAAGTATTCACTTGAAACTTGAAATAGAGTTCTACTGGTAGCATATACAGTTCTAATAGAATAAGTATTATATTGCGAAATCAGTCAGAAAACTGGTTGCTATATTCTATACCAGTTATAGCTTCTGAATTGTGTTCAAGAATACTCTCACCTAAAGCCTGTAGCACTACAGGTAGTTTTCAATTTATGACCACAATAGAGCCCAGAATTTAGATTGTAAATGGTCGAAGTCAAGGAACCTAACATTAATAGTTATGCATAATTTCACAACATAATAATTCAGAACAATTATTAGTCCTCAGTTAGCAATTGGCCATTCAGTAGTGACCATTCAATAGTGATGAAAAGGTAATTTTGCCACCAATCCTATAACTTAGAATCTTTGCAGGTAAAATAAAGGAAAGCTCAAATAAAGTCATAAGCAAAAGTGTGGTTTCACTTAGTATTCCTTAATGACCAAGTTACTGGTCTCAATTGTGATAATTAAACAAGAACTATAGTACCTGTATTACATCTTTTGTTATTGCTCATTAATATGAGTTTACTCTAAAACTAACATCACTCATGTTAAAATTAGGCCTATTTAAACAGTATGTAATGTTATTTACAGATAGTTCTTCCTCCTCTTCCTCCTCTTCTTCTTTACTTTCTTTAACTTCACCTTCCTTTATATACACATCTTCCATTGTATGTACAATCTGCAAAAAATTCCAAATAATGTTCTAATCTCTCATTGGCAATGCTTCCTATTTTCCTAATGTTAGAAACTAGATCATTAAGTCTTATCTATGATAGGCTTCTCTTTTCCTTTAATTTTAGAAACTTTTATGCATTTGCCTCAAGTCAAGGTTGATCACTGATGACAAAATTTACATATCAGGTTTTCTTGAGAATGATCTAAGGTGCTTAGCATTTAACTTCTTTATTTAGTTTATACACAAATCTTACATTTGTGTCTCTGGGTGACAATTACACATAAACAATACCAAAAAAAACCAGAATGAAATCACCAAATAAACAAAACATTAATACAACACCATGTTAATTTAGTCATCAGGAGAGCACTATAATTCACAAACAGTTAATTTACCCTCTTTTTCATAAACACTTTGTAGATGGGACCTACAAAAAAACCTTTTCTTATGGGATGGTTAGATATCACTGGGTGAGTTTTTTCCTCAAATATTCAAGCTCCATGCTTCTTCTTTTCTTTTTCTTTTGTAATTGCTTTTTCAATTATTCAGTTCACATACAACTATGGAATTTTCAAAGAATTCCCATCCATTTAACCAACCTTTTTTTTCCAGACCAGCTGCATAGTATCATCTGCTGTGATCTGCCCTTACATTAGAGAAATAAAACATTCTGAAAAATGTACATTAAACTAAGTAATTGCCATTATTCAAATATTATGTGATTTACTTTCCAATTATTTGCTGCATCCTCAATTAGAACCCACGTGTCAATGTTCCAGCAACCCTCCATTCCAATCAATAACTCCGAGACAGACATCTCTCAAAGGTACCTTTATTTGGATTGTAACTAGCACATCTGTGGAATCCTGAATCTGAAAGTTTCAGGCTTCCTTGCAAAAGTCAAAACTACAAATCCATTCCCCCTTAGCCATCACCACATCACATGGTCCAATCTCCATCAGTCCTAAAGTAAGATTCCCGTTTCATTATGCACCACACTCAGTGACCTTGAACCAACAAAAAAATGTTCTTTTGTCTAACTAGTTATAGTCAAATGAATTCCTCCCTCCCACTTTCTCAGGCTCAATTGTGGCAGCATGGGAGCATCAAATCTCAATATGGCTTCCAAAGGTGACACCAAGGATGACTTTTCAATATAATAGTCATAAGCTACAATGTTCAAACATTCTCTTCAATTTCATTTTTCATTGTTTACTTTACTGTTCTGTTATTTTACTTCTGTTCTGTTTAACTCTTTTCATTTCTCACTTTTATTGTTGTAGGACACCTAAAATATTTCCATGCTGAGGTAAGAGGCAAATAAATTTAACAAGTAATAAATAATAACTCTCAGTCTGCATGGTTGGTTGTTGGATTTTAGCAAGAAAATGAAGACTCAGCAAAAAGAATATTTGTATTAAATAAGTCTGGCAAATCCTTTTAACTGTTAAAGTCATATTCTCTGGCAATACCCTTTGTTCATGCTAAAAGAACAATCCATTAATCAAACCAAAGCATAACTTATATTTATTATGTAAAGGGGCATTGGTCCTACCTGAATGCTTCTTCTCGGGGAGCCGAAGGGAGAATCCAGGATGGGTAGTCTCTAGTCTCATAGCTCTGCAGACTGAGTTGAAAAACCGAGGACACACCCCCTGGTAACGGTCACCAGTTCTGAATGATGTTGAAGCGAATCCAGCTGCTCCTCGTCCTCTAACAGATAGCCTATTTGATACTGCGAGAAAAAAACATTTCCTCCCTACTCCGACCAGACAGAATATAGGGTGGGACTGGATTCTCCCTTCGGCTCCCCGAGAAGAAATGTAGGACCAACACCCCTTTTCCACTGAGCTGAAGGGAGAATCCAGGATGGGACATACCAAAGCTGGCTGATGGCTGTCCTACGGGAGGGAACTGGATTGGTTGAAGGTCCCCACTTCTACATGAACACCCTGCAGGACTCGTCTTCCAAAGGACGCCTCTGCTGAGGCAAAGGAGTTAATTTTATAATGTCTTATGAATGGGCTCACAGATGACCAAGTCGCAGCTCTAAAAAAGTCCAGAACCGAAGCCTGCATTGCCCAGGCTGCAGTGGTTGCTGCACTCCTGGTTGAGTGTGCAGTGATTCTCCTGGGCACAGGAAGAGCCAGTAACTCATAGGCATTTGCAGTACAGGCTCTAAGCCAGCGACCCATGGTAGATGGTGTCACCCTGCGACCCAAAGTTGACGGCTAAAAGGAAACGAACAGGGCTTCAGTCCTCCTAAAAGAGGAGGTCCCTTTGATGTATATACGGAGGGCCCTCCTAACGTCCAAGGTGTCCCATTTTCTCTCCAGTGCATGGATAGGCCCTGGACAGAAGTCAGGCAAAATCCTATGAGCGATGGAATAAGGAGTTCATCCTGGGCAGAAAGGTAGGGTCCAACTGCAGAACCACTCTGTCTGCATGGAAAACACACAGGTCCTTTCTGATGGATAAGGCCGTCAACTCCGAGATACGCCTGGCTGAAATAATGGCCACTAAGAATGACACCCTGCACGTGAGTAGGCGAAGACTGACTTCACGCAAAGTTCAAATGGGGGACAAGTCAGTGCCTGCAGGACCCTAGGCAAATCCCAGGTGGGGTAACGGTGGACCACCGGTGGCTTCAAATTAGTGGCTCCCCTAAGGAAGGCTTTCACCCTGGGGCATTGGGCCAGAGTGGTTGAGTCCTTGACCAAAAAACCCGAGGCCAAGGCAGCCACCTGTCTCTTCAAGGTACTGGGGGTGAGACCTCTGTCCAACCCCTCTTGCAGGAACTCTAATACATTTGCCACAGACACACCAGTAGGTTCCAATAGGTGACTGGCACACCAGCCGCAGAAAATCCTCCATGATGTGTCGTATATCCTGGTCGTAGAAGGTCTTCTGGCTGCCTGAATGGTCTGAATGACCCTTCTGGAAAACTACTCCTGTTTCAGGAGCACCCACACAAGCGCCAGACAGTCAACCGAAACCAGGCTGGATCTGGGTGCTCAATCGGGCCCTGGCTGAGGGAGATCCTGTGCAGGGGAATTGTCCAGGGTCTGGCGACCACCAGGCCCACCAGGTAGGTGAACCGTGGGCGCCTGGGCCAGTAAGGGGCTACCAACAGAACCTCCGCCCTCTCTGTCAGTACCTTTCTGATTGTTCCCAGAATCAGGGGAAGGGGGGAAGGCATACAATAGCCCTTGGGGCCACCTGCACCGGAGAGTGTTGACCCCTTCTGCTCCCAGTGCTGGGAACCATGCAAAAAACCTTGGGAGCTGTGAGTTCTCTGGAGATGCAAAGAGATCCAGAATCAGATTGCTGAACCGTTCCGTCATCTCCTGGAACAGACTGGGATGCAGTCGCCATTCCGACTGGTCGACTGTGGCCCTGCTCAACCAGTCTGCTTGCACATTGGAAACTCCCAGATGTTTTCTGCTCGCAGGGACAACAGGTGTCTCTCGCCCACCTGCACAACCGAGTCACCTCCTGCATTAGAGATCTGGAGTGAGTGCCCTCCTGCCGGTTTACGTGGGCCTTGGTGGCCACATTGTCTGTGAGGAGACAAACCTGTCTCCCATCACCTCCTGCCTTAGATCCTTGAGAGTTAAGCAGGCAGCCCTGAGCTCTAGCCAATTTATGTTGTGGGCGAGCTCCTCCCATGACCACCTAACCATACAGACTGGCGCCGATGGTGATGGTAATCCTCTGTGCAAACAACCCTGATCCATGGCTCAGGATTGCCACCAATGGAGAGAAAGAAAAACTAGCAAGGGGATGTGAACCCTCCTTGGTGAGTCACCCCTGCCCGCGTTCTGGTAGGGGAGCAGGAACCACTGCAGGGTTCGGGCATGGAAGCGGGCCCTGGGATGATCCCAATGCACGATATCAACTTGCCGAGAACTTGACACAGCAAGATGATAGGCGCCTCTCTGTCAGACAGGATCTGTGATGTGACATCCCTTATACTGTCTCAACGCTCCTGTGAGAGAAAGACCTGGCCGGTTAAAGTGTGTATGATAGTCCCCAAATGCAAGAGATGCTACTAGGTAGCATTTGTCCAGGTTTATCGAGAACCCATGCTCTTGAAGGATCCTGATTGTCGACATCATATCCTCCTCCACCTGAGGTCTGGAAGAGGATGCTATCAGGATGTCATCCAAATAGCATAGGATCCGTATGGGTAAGGATCTGAGGTATGCCGCTACGGCCGCCAGGAGCTTGATAAAATCTGTGGGGCTGATGACAGGTCGAACGGGAGAGCCCTGTATTGAAAATGGTGGCCACCATAGCAAAACCTCAGGAACTGACAGTGGTTGGGGTCTATGGGCACATGGAGGTAGGCCTCTGTCGGGTCTACTGAAGCCAAAAATATCTCCCTCCCGCAGGTCCTGAAGGATAGAGTGGAGGGAGTGCACCTTGAATCTTCGGTAGATTAGATGCCTGTTGAGCCCTTTCAAGTTGAGGATTGCTCGTCACCCCCCCCCCCCCCCCCCCGAGGCCTTTGGAATCACAAACCAAATTGAATAGAACCTCTGTCTCTCCTGGTCTCCAGGAACTGGATGGATGGACCGAATGTCCAGCAGATAGTGGGTTGCCGATTCCATGAGATCCCTCTTTGAGGGGTCCCTTGAGACGGGGCAGCACACAAAGGCACTAGTGAGGGAGGAAAGAAACTCCCAAGAGAGACCTGACCATAAAGTTGTCAGGATCCAAGTGTCTGTTGTGATCTGTTCCCACCTCTGCCAGAACAGTCCCAGACGGCCCCCTGTGGGAGAGGAAGCTTGGGTGTCACTTGTTGCATCTAAAAGGTCTGTTGGAACCCCAAAAGGATCTTCTGTCATCTTGCCTCTGATGCCCTCTGGCGGCAAAGGCCGGTCTATCGGCCTGAAATGAGGATCTTTGGAAGAAGGGCCTACTTTGGTGGGGAAAGCTTGCCCCAGCTTCCCCCTGTTTAAAGGAAGGCTTTCTGTAGTAGGGTGGAGACCTGTAATCAAAACGCTTCCCCTGGGAGGGTAGGATCTTTCACTTGTCCCTGGTTTCCATCGAAAAAAGGGATCCAGGGCCTTCCCAAAAAGTCTCTCTCCCTTGAAGGGAGCAAATGCCAGCTTCCATTTGTTTCTGGAGTCCATCTGCCAGTTTCTTAGCCAGATGAGTCTACGTGCTGTTACAGATGAGGCCATGGCTCTAGAAAAAGTTTTAGCTGACATGAGGGTGGCATTAGCTGTTGATTGAGCTGTGGCTATTATCTTATTTAAGTCCTGATGCACCCTGAGGTCCTCAGGTGGGATTCTACCCTGCAGCTGCCGCAGCCACCCATTAAATAAGGTAGACTCAGACCCACTAGGGTGAGTGTACCCCCCAGGGGAAACTCCTGCTGCTTTTTAATCACATTCATAAATGTCTGGGGCACAGGTACAGCGTCCACCACAGATGCTTTCTCCATGAATATGTAATCTTTCTGATCCTCCCCCTCTGGGGGAAGAGCCCAGTGACTTTGTCCCTTTTTTAAAGATGAGCTGTGCTCTTAGCCTTAACCAGCAGAGTCTTGGAGAGAGCCAGCTGGAAAAGGTCCTTAAAGGAGGGGGGCCCTGCGACCTCTGACTCCCCATCCGAAAAACCCTCTCTGGAAGGAGGTCCCTCTTGGAAACATAAGACTGGCTTCTTTCCGAAGGGTGTGCAGAACTATTTCTGAAGTAGATCGGCTGTTCTGCAGAAGCCTGCCCCTGCCCCTGAGGAACGCCTCTGTTGGTGTCCAAACCAGGCAGCTGGCGCAGCTGGTTGACTTAAGCCTGAAATTCTTGTCTAATTGTTTGGGAGATCCAGGCTCTCATGAAGGATGGCATCTCTTGCCTTTGGGTCTCCTCAGGCCGCAACCCAGCCACTATAGGATAAAGGTGGCTTTTTTATTTTCAGGCGCAGGTCTGGTTCTGCTGGAGGCTTGGCTTCCAGGTACAGCAATCAAAAATCCTTGTGGTGGCTCAGAATTATAATGAGTGGCTTTTGCCTTGATTTGAAGGTTTCCCTGCAAATCCTGAGTACTTGAGCCACCAGGATATCAGGCAGTCAAATATTGTCTATCTGCCAATTGGTTTTGCTGCCTGCCATCTTGTGGGAGCAGAGGAGAGATGACCCTGTTTTCAGCAATCTTGGAGTCTCTCACTGCCTTATCAAACTTCTTATCTAGGGCTTTTTGTCTATGCCTGGCCTGCATATCCTCTGCCCTAGAGGGTCTTTTAGGGGCTAGGGTCCTAGCTCTGATCCTAGCTGCTGCTTCTAGCCCCGCAGACCTGGATTTAGTTGATCTCCTTACTCTGGTGAGGAGCTGATAATTCTTGGCCAGCTCCCCTGGTGGCCATTTTGAGCCTGCCAAAAATAATTGTCATTGACAGGGAGAAAGAAAAGGAAAAAGGGGGCAAAAGAAAAATAAAAGCAAAATTTATTTGATCTAAAGCTGTCTGCTTTGGTCACAGCAGCTGCCCACCACTTCAGGAGGTTAGTGCAACTCAGAAGTGGTGAGCACAGCTCCGCAATTTAAGGCAAGAGTCAAAGCAAAAACGGAAAAAAATGGCTGACTCTTTAAAATTGCTACAAGCCCTGACAGATCAGAGGCTTGTTGAGTCAGTGCTGGCTGCACCACAATCAATTTGGCAGTCTCAAGTGTCTCACAGCTGCCACAGTGCTCTGGTGACTGGACAGGGGCTCAGGATTCAATCCAGCTGTCCAGTACCCCCCCCCAAGGGACAATCCTGAAGACAAACTGCAGAATTGTCCCGAAATGTCTGAAATGGCCGCCAATATCAAAAAGGGGCAGAAGCGCCTTGCCGTTTTTGCGGCTAGCACAGATCAATAAGAACGGACCAGGAGAAAGTGCATTGAATAAGACACTGACTCCCACGCCCCCAGCCCGGGCCACACGGGCTCTCAGGGTCACCTCCAACCAAATTTACAATCACAATTCCAAAAACCAGTCTACCAGCAAAGAATTTTTTTTAAAGGCAGTCAAAAAAAAACACGTGAAAAACAAAAGTGCTAACCAGCAAGCCGGCTAGCTGTCAAACCTGCTCTAAGCCACTCGAAGAGGGGAAAAAAAACTCAACCCAGGGGTGAAGATTCTTCTACAATCTTAACTATTCAGAGCCCTTAAAGGGTGGTCTGAACACGCTGAGTGAAGAACTGGGGACCATTACCAGGGGGTGTAACTCGGTCTGCAGAGCTATGAGACTAGAGACTACCCATCTTGGATTCTCCCATCTTGGAGAATGTGTTCATCTTTTATAATGTGACCTTTTTAAATATACAGATAATCCTCAACTTATGACCTTAATGGAACCTGCCCATTACAGTCACATGTCATGGTGGCTGTTAAGTGAAGCATCTCATTTAACAACCCCCTATTCCTGCTTTTCCCAATGCTATCATTAAACAAATGTGTGGGTCATTAGATGGAACATGGGGTGCCACGGGGGTGGAAGGAGATCCTTGGAGGCCTGACCTTGCCCAGACCTTACCACACTCCTGCAAACCTCTCTAGGCCTTCTAAGGCTTCCTCATGTCTGAGGCACCCTGTGCCCTACTTCAGTGGTGGGATTCAAAAAAATTTACTACCTGTTCTCTGATTGTGACTTGGTGGGCATGGCTTGATGGGCGTGGCAGGGGAAGGATACTGTAAAATCTCCATTCCTACCCCACTAACCTGATTTCCAGCTCCATTCTCCTGTGTAGGGCAACCAAAGAAGACCCAGCCCGATCATCTGGGACTTGGGAGGCAGAGAATAAATGGTGGCAGGGCCAATCAGAGGTGGTATTTGTCGGTTCTCCAAACTACTCAAAATTTCTGCTACCACTTCTCCAGAACTTGCCAGAAGCTGCTGAATACCACCTCTGCTCTGCTTCCTGGACCTCAGGGTTCCACAGGCCTAAGCCTGCTCCCAAGCTGGCTATTCATGAAAGCAACATTGCCTAAAGCCAGTCAACAGAAGCAACCAGCACATGAGAGGCAGTTACAACCTGTAGGCCAAGGCCTATTTCACATCTGGCAATCCAAGGGCCTTCCCAAATCTTCCTCTGTCCCTGAGGATTCTCTGAGCCTTGTCCTGCTCCCAAGCTCATTATTTAGCCAGACAATGCAGCAAGAATCTGGTCAGTAGAAGTGGCTGACACGTGGAGAATAGTTATAGCATGTACATTGATGCTTACTTTAAATCCAGCCACCCAAAAAACTTGCATGATTCAGCCCACTATTCACTCAATTCCAGGGCCAAGCAGCATCCAATTTACCTTTATATATTTTGCAGATGAGCTTGGCCAATGCTATATGATGCTCAATTTTCTTGTAGAAGCATCCAGCCTCATGGCAATTTCATGCTCTTCTCCTAGCAAGTAGTATTTCTTGCGAGACTATAGGACAAATGTTTTTCCTGTTTTTTAAGGAGACTTCACAAACTCCACAAATAAATGTAGCCTCCTTAGAATCATAATCTTTTGTTTAGCTATTCTGAATAACACATTTATCTAAATACATGTTTCTCTGATATTTAATTCCCTTAAGTTCCTTGAAAAAGTACACTAATTTTCAAAAAGGTATCTATTTACAGAGTTGTAATTGCAAGTAAAGTAAGATGCTGTAGTATTAGGTACTTTCACGCCTTTGATTCAATTACATACAAAAAAGTGATAAAAATTAAATAATAAACACTGTTAATGATTAGCCTACCTCATTTAGATGTTTTGTAATATTTCTAAGCATATCCATCTCATCAAACATTCTGTCTTTATTTCCTGAAGTAAGACCCAGAGAATACTGCGTGATGGTTTCTTTGGGAACTGCAGGCATTAAAACCATTGGGTTAGCTTCATATCTGCTCTGTTTTCCTCCTTTATTCCTTGTTCCTGGAGATGAGTTGTCAATTGTCTTTTGTTTTAATTGTTTTGTTGCATTCATTGCGTTGGTTATATAATCTTTTCAAAAATAAATAATCAATATTTCATTCCAAGCTTTGAAAAAAATGTAATACATAATAAAACAATATATTTTTCACCTTAAAAACTATCCCAATAAATTTTCTATGTTCCAAAAAGTTTAACCTATCCTACCTTTAGCATACCATCTCTTTCAATATCTTTGTTTTCAGTTTTCAAGCTGTATGAACAACCCTTTATAACCTAGTGGTTAACATATTGGTTATATTAATTTCACTCCTAGAGAGCCAATACTGTAATGGTTAGGATGCTGGACTAGGAGTGGGAAAAATCAAGTTCTAATTATCTGTTAGGCATGGAATACAACTAAATAACCTTGGACCAGTCATTCTCTCACAGCTATAATCAGAATCATTCTGAAAAGCCAGCTAAGAACTAAACCTCTCATTACATCAGGCATTAATAGTTTTTCTATTTAAACTAGATGAACAAAATGCAGAAATGTGACCCTGCAGCGAAATAAATATATGCATGCATGCATGCATACATACGTACATATACAAATACACATGCAGAAAGTTCTAAATGCTGACAACGTATTTTTTCTGTAATTAAATAAAAGTAGAATATAAATAAGTTTCACATTATATTGAATATATCGAATTAGCACTCTCCAAAGGCAAGAAAATTCTCCAGATATACAAAATCCAACAGTAGGATCAAAAAAGGGTATAAAAATAGGGGGCGGGACCAGCTGTCAGAGTGAGTGGCTGTATGGACAGATATCTCCATCCTACATAACTGCTAATCCGGCATCCACAGGACTCTTCGGGGCCGAAGGTAGTCTCAGATGGACAGCCAAAGGTGGAGATGCCCCATTGATCGTTTGCGAGCGGCAGCCCGCAGTGGGAAATGGGAGAATACCCAAAGTGAGTGGACTCGGAAGAAGGTGCCCAGCTATGGCCAACTGGAGGATCTGACAGCAGGGATGAAAAAAGCGATGACCTAGTAGAACGACGGTGGACCAAATTTGACAATAAGATTCCCAGGCTTGTAAGTGAAGTGGAGAGAGGAAGCACTTAACTAAAATGCGAAGCAGTGTCTGGCGAAAGGAGTAAGCCCTAGATAAATGGAAGAAGCGGCGAGTGATCGGTGGGCAGAAGAAATTGTAAAGAGGGAAAAGCCAGGATATCAGCTGCCAGTGGAAAGCTGTAAACCCCCACAGTGGTAAAAAAAAATTGTGGGCGGAAAACAGAGCTACTGTGCTGCAGAGAGGGATCGTAAGAAGAAGATTAGGGCTAAGAACAGACAGTTCTGAACAAGTGGAGAATTGAATGATTTAACTAAGAGGCATAATGGAGTCTCCCTGAGGGAAATGACATTGTATTTTTAGACTGTGAGATTTAGATAAATGTGACACCTGCTGGCCACAGAAGAAAAAGATCAAAGGAAACATTACTGAAAATGAAAAGAAAAGGTTTCTTTTTTGGACAATACTGGACTATAATGGACCTAAATATTGGATTATAAAGGTTTTGGAACAACTGGAATACTTCTGAAGTGGTGAATTTACTAAACCTTGAATTACCAATTATTGTTATATACTTTAAAATTGTCATTATAGATTAATTCAATAATTACAAATTAATTAATAGTATCATATAGATTATGTTTTGCACATAACACATTATTGTTATATAATACTACCATTATAGTGATTTTCCGTATTATACTTGTTAGCATTGCCTGTCGCAGTATCTAAGTTGCCATAATCAATTAACTACAATAAGTGGATACAAGTGAATATTATTATTTTCATTTACTATTGCCATTATTGATTTATTATTTATGGTTAAAACCTTTTTTAAACTCTTTTTAAAGTATAATATTCTTATAAAATTTTATAAGAATTTTAAAGGGCTTTGGTGCTATATATCATTAATGGTAAGAAATAGAGTCGATAAGTAAAAGATATTATAAAGAGAAATTGATAAAACCACTGTGAAAGTAAATCCCAAAGATCAACCAATCAACTGAAGGCCTCTGGGGGGGGGTTAATCAGATTAATAGAAATAGAGGTTATATTGACACATCAATACATATATAGTGATTTAGGATAAGATATAATTGAGAGAATAAACTCTGGAGGGTACAGAGGTGAAAGTAAGAAGTGGAAACTATCGCTAAATAGTAACTTTCTGAAGAAATTGTTAAAAAGCACAACGAACCTAACAAAAATAGGCGCAGGAAAGAAAACCACCTTGCAGACATCGACGGCATCCAGTCCCTCTACTCAAAAATCTATAGAGGACATGCTACAGAGAGAACAATCAAATTTGTTTAAAGATCTTTAAGCAATGCTAAAAAATATGCAAGAGACGATGAATAAAAACTACGCAGAGATGAAAAGAGAGATTGGCAAGGTGAGAAATGACACAGGGGAACTTAAAGAGAGAATACAGATAATGGATGGAACATTTGAAGCTTTCCAGCAGCAAATAACCAAAAATGAACAGAAACTGATGGAAATGGAACAAAGAATGGAAAAGGAAGAAAGGGAAGTTGAGGAAATAAATGAAAAACTAATTCTGGCCAACAAAGAGTTGGAAGTGACAGTGATCTTTCTCGAAGCCGAGAGAGCGGCCCACTACTTGCATTTCCAGAATATCACAAAAGAAAAGGGAGAAGATCTACCTGATACAATGGCAGATCTTCTAAGCAGGAGCTCTCAGAATGGAGAAAGAAGAAATGATTTTGGAAATGGATGAGATTTACAGGGTGCAAACTAATTATGGAAGGAGACACAATCTCCCAAAATAAGTCCATATTAAGTTCATCAAAAAATCAATTAGGGAGGAAATTCTATATAGAATGACAGACAAGCAGCTAGAATATAGAGGCAAACAGATAATCATTTTGAAGCAGGTACCAAAAGGGATGAGGAACTTGGGAAGAAATTACCAATTCCTGACGTCAAGATTGAATAGGCACAGCATGAACTTTAGGTGGTTGACACCTGAGGGTATCATGGTGACGTGGCACGACAGGAGATACAGACTTGGCACAGTTGAGAAAGCTGAGGAATTCTACAAACAGCATTTCAACAATGAAGAAGAATCAAGAGACAAAGAAGAAGAATATGACACAATAAAATGAAAGGGAAAGATTATAAACTCTGGATAAAGGGAAGAGGAGAAAGAGAAAGAGTAGAGAATGATGAAAGAAGAATCGAAGAGCCCAAAGAAATCAGAGCAACCAGAAGCACGAGACCAAGGCATAAGTAAAATAATGGGAGAAGAATTTAAGATTTGGTCAATGAATATCAACGGACTAAATTCTCCAAAAAGACAATTTTTTAAGAATAAACTAAAATGCCAAAAGATGGATATAATAGTGCTCCAGGAAACCCATATAAAAGATAGCCAAAGATATCTACTAGAACAACCAAAACTAGGGAATTTATTTGCATCAACAGAAAAAGAAAGGGGTAGTGCTATACGTTAAAGACATGGTCCCTGCCAAACAAATATATAGTGACAAAGAAGGGAGAATATTAATAGTTGACATTATAATAAACCACAAAAAATAATGAAAGTTGAAATTTATGCCCCCAATGGAGCCCAAGAAAAATTCTATAAAAGTTTACATAATATAATTTGAGACATAGAATATGATTTGTATTATATATAAGACTTTAACACTATCGTTGACAAAAATGGAACTATAAATGTAATGCCACAAGAAATAGAAGACTTTTACCAAGAACTTTTTTTGAAATGGCCACAATCTAAAGATACAGGATACCTGGAGAGAGAGGAATACGGAGAAAAGTAAATTTACATACTACTAAAATAGACACAAGTCGTGGTCCAGAATAGATATAGTGTGGATCTCGAAGGAGATGGACTCAGAAATCAAAGAAGTTGATATTGAGATAAACCTTTGGGTGGACCACAATCCTATGAAACTCTACTGGAAAGGGCATAAGAGAACATCAATGGACTTTTCAACTATCAATCTTAAAGGATAAGAATTTTAGACTAAGATCGGAGAAATAATTAGGCTTCTTTTTTAAAGAGAATAAACAGGAGGACACATCCCTCCAAAACCTCTGGGACACAGAAAAGGCATATACAAGAGGAGTGGCAATAGCATACATGGACAACAAAAACAAGAAGAAACAATTACAGAAAACTCTAGAAGACAAATTTAAAAGTCTGGAGACAACAATACAGAAAGAACCACAAAATAAAAGTGTTAAAAATCAAATGCATATAATCAAACACAAACTTTATCTTCTTGAAAAAGATGCCCAAGCCCAAAAATTAAAACAAACAAAACAGATTTTTTTTTTGAAAATGTGAATAAACTAGAGAGATGGTTAGCACATAAATTGAAGAGATTAAAGGAAAAAAGATGGATCACTAAACTACAGGATGAAGATGAAAGGATATGCTATCAGGAAGATGCAAAGAAGAACATCGCCCAGACATTCTATGAGAAATTGTACAATGAAAATGATGGGCATATAGAAGAGAAAATATTGGCATGTTTAAAGAAATCAGATATACTCAAAATTATGGAAAAAACAAAATTATGCTGAATGAGGAAATTAAAATGGCAGAACTTATTAAGGCAATCAATAAACAAAACAACAAAGCACCAGGCCCAGACGGCATCCCGTCAGAACTATATAAAGATCACCAAAACATTCTGGGCCAACCATTATTAGAAGTCTTCAATGCAGTTTTAGAGGAGGCAAAAATTCCACAATCATGGACCAAAGCTAATATCACATTGATACACAAAGAAAATTCGGATCTATCACTGATTAAAAATTATAGACCGATATCTCTTTTGAACATAAGATATAAGATATTTGCAATGATCACAATCAAGAGGTTAAAAAGATTTTTAAATGAATTCATTGATAGAGATCAAAATGGCTTCTTCCCTAGAAGACAAATTAAACACAATATAAGAATGATACTAGACATTCTAGAATTCTATGAAGTTCATAGGGACAACAGGTGTCTTTC